TCTTGTATTATGGTCTTCAAAACCATATTTGAAATGTCATATTTAGTATTTGTACTAATCATTAAGGTTTAATGGTAATTGAGAAGGCTATGTTGCATCTGGGAACGATGCAACAAGTGGTGTCAGCGATCCCTTGTGGATGAGGGTGGGGATCATAGGGTTCCACCTCTTCCTGACAGAAGATTGACTACTGAAAGGTTCTGGAAAGGTGGAAGTCATTGTCTTCAATTGAGTTCCCAATAGTGATCTCGCCAAGCTCTGATGGATTGTTCCAAACCCATGGCCACACAGATGGCACCAGTTAAACCCAGTGGGTACAAAAACAAAACAAATCAAGAATGTGAAAGGGTTGGAAAGGTAGGAAAGAGGAGGTTGACAGGACAGAAGGTGATAGTAATTAGAATGTATTTTATACATATAGAAAACAGTCAGCCTGCTGTGGGGGAGCTCGCCTTTAACCCCAGCACGCGGGAGGCAGAGGCAGGCGGATCTCAGTGAGTATGAGGCCAGCCTGGTCTACAAAGTGAATTTCAGGACAGCCAGGACTATTACACAGAGAAACCATTTCTGGAACCCCCACCCCCCAAAAAAGGTCAGTGACAATTTAATTAACAAAAAAGATTGAGTGTTCTGTTTGTGTATTTCCCCTGATGAGACTAACAGTCCCGTGAAGAAAGAAGTCAAGATGTTACATATTATCTCCTCACTGGGTTTCTATGACACGGTTCACAGATGGCTGAAATTTAAGAATACACAATTGTTTAGCTGAGTCAGTATTTTCGTAGAACCACTACGCTAAATGAATTCTGCAAAATGTTTGAAGTTCTTCCTTAGTTGTTGAATGAGACACTTTTACTATCCTAACGGAATGTCTCTAGTATTTGTATGCATCCTTAGGAAAAAAGATTTCTAGAAAATAGGTTACCAGAGACATGATGGTGGTAGGCACGTGCTTCCTCTTTATCTCCTTGGCCACCACACAGGAAACCACTGCGTTCCATTGTACCATTACAACATGATATTCTGCCTCATCTCTAGCCCATAAAGACTCCAGCTAGCCAATCATGTGCTGTCATCTGAGAGTATGAGCCAAAAAACTAACACCCAAACAAAACATGGCCCACCCATAGAAACACAATCCTTCCTGCTTTTAAATTGTTTCTCTCGTACTTGTCTCAGCCATCAGTAACACAATGGAAGTGGCACGGACTACCCTAACTATAGTGACATGCACCACCACAGTCACAAACCTCAGCATTCTTGAAGAGTGTGGCATGATTATATCCAACAATTTGATTCATTTCTATGTTGCTCATGAAGAAATGGAGACAGAGAGAGGTGCTCAAGTTCACAGAAACGAGAATCATAAGCACAGGGAAATGAGCAGTCACCATTCTGTATGTCGCCATACAATATTGGACTGTCACCACATTGTATGTCACTCCTCACAATTTCACAAGTAAGTAGCCACTATCTTCAAAAAAAAAAGAAAATAATAAGTTCACCAACTTTCCCCAAAGTTCAGAACGAATGGTTTTCAAAAGTATTTGATTGATTTCATGTGCCAAGAGTACACAGGCACACCACTGTGAACAAGCCCGATCTCCACTGATCTTGGGAGCTGGCAGGGTCAGACCTGATTTATTTTTAGGTGGGAGAACTTCCTGAATCAAAGTATGGGAACTATTTTCCTTGCGGCTTGTTATCTGATTTAGATTTTTCGTGAATGAGTGGTTCACTTGCATGTGTCTGCACCATGTGCGTGTTTGGTTCCCTTGGAATTCAGAAAAGGGCATCAAATCCCCTGAAACTGGAGTGGTGGTTGGTTGTGAGCCACCATGTAGGTGCTGGGAATCAAATCTGGGTCATCTTCAAGAAAAATGAATACTCTTTACTGCTAAGCCATCTCTCCAGCTCGTTGAGGTTTTAAGTAATATAGACACCTATAAATACTGCCATGTGCTGTATGCCAGTATATGCAGCCCCTGCTTCAACTGTTCTCTGAGACAGTCACCCATTACAAAGTCTATGGAGCATTGGCAACAAAAGAAAGAGATGAGTTTACTTCTGGCCCAGAGTCTACACATTGGGTTAACTGGGCAGCTATGAAAAACAAAAACAAAAAACCTCTCCTCCAGACCAAGTAAATCATTATACCTCCTGGGGGGGGGGAAGTGCTCCCTGGAGATGGTAATACAGTGAACCCATGCTAAGGAAGCCCAGGTATTAGACACAGCCTGCCTTGAATAGCAAAGTGAGAGAATTCTGAAGTTTTCCTAGTTTTCCAAAACTACTTCTCTGTTGAGAAACTGAGATTGTTTCAGATGGTTGGGAATCATCTCATTTGATAAATCCTTAAGAATGGGCTTATATACAAGGCAAAGTTAGAGAAATGATGCAGTAAGCAATCAAAAGTACTTACAGTGATGCTGAGATGATCACCTACTACCCATGGCATGCTAGATGGTCAGCTACCACCCAGGACATGCTAGATGATCACCTACCACCCAGGGCATGCTAGATGATCACCTACCACCCAGGACATGCTAGATTGTCAGCTACTACCCATGGTATGATAGAGCAACCAGAGCAAAACATTTTCTCGTCCTATGAGTGATGAGAAATTGCAATTCACCAAGTCTGAACTGTATGAATAAGGGCAATCCAAAGGCAGCACACATGACAGAAAACATGTTAAATTTGAAACCTTTCGCATTTGACAGCACATCTATCACTTTGATCCTGGTAAACTTCTTCATTGCCCTAAGCCTCTGCTGCATTTTAACACAGAAAGGGTACATAATACCTCCTGAACTAACTGTTTAATCAAATCCTGTAGGTAAATGCTCCTGGTATGACTGCTCGATAATTTAGCACAGGTAAGCCCTTTCTCTTACTTCTGTTGAATTTAACAACAAATGACAACTCAACAAACTATATAAACTTACTTTTTAAAAGAAAACAAGATCAGAGCAAGGGGACATCTTAACTTGCTATCTTGTCTGGCCATTGTGGTCTCTGCCTGCTAGACTAATGACCTAGATATTTTCTTCTGCTTTTGAAAGGCCATGTTCAGCCAAGTTTCTCTCCTCCTCAGTAACTAGGGCTTTGATGACACTCTGCTTTACACACATGCCCTACTTCAGACACACATGGTTCTCACCACAGAGTAGTAACAACAGGAGAGTAGAGCCAGTCACAAAAACCTCATGTTGAAGCACTGCACACATTATGTGCTCAAGCACAGGGGGTGCCATCAGATGGTCAAAAATGATAGCATGCCAAGCTTTATATATGTATCACTATGAGTTTTGCTGAAGGGATGTATTTTCTCAATGGGCCAGACCATGCCATTCTGAGGTATGAATACGATGAAAGTTATTTCTTATTGCTTCCAGAACAGCAATACCTTCTCATTCCATGGTAGTGAGGAAAATTGACTCCCTCAAATTCCATTTTTAAAACGTCAACAGGAAACACCAACTGTGTTGGCAGTGCAATTGGAGCTCAACACCACAGAGAACAAAATGATGAAGTCAGCTCTGGCCCACCTCAGAGGTAAAGGCACCTGTTGACCTTGAATTATGCCCCAATACTGGCCACAGCAGGAGATAAAAGAGATTCTACTGCATTCCCATAAAATGGACATAATCCAATTGAACCTTCCAGAATTCCCTTCCATGGTCATTTAGTATTTTCTGCTAAAGTTTCAATAATCCTCAATGTAACTACATAGCATACAAAACAAAATGTTTTACATGTTAATTTGTGTGCATAGGCTTTCCTGAAAATTCCATGTTGTAAAAAAAAATCAATGTTTTACTAAAAATAAGTTTTCAAAATATAGGCAGCATAACTTCATTTCTACAAGTGTTAGGTAATATACAAGATAAATAAATGTACAAATAAATAAGGGTAAGAATTCACAGGAGAAAATTTGAAGACACATTGAATCAAGCAAATTGACTTAAACTGCAGCATTTTTCATATTTTACTATATCAAAATGTGTTGGAAACGTCTAAGAAGTTGACACAGAGCCTATCCTAACCATTTATTTTTTCACTCAAACATTTTTTTAAAAACTCTGAAACCACACTTTGGCAAACAGTGCACTGATACCACAATATGCTACTCGCCCAAAATTCCAGCAAATAAGCATCCCTTCCCACTGGGAGAGGAGTTGGCACCTGGTAAGAGGAGGACTCTCAATGGAGGCAGGGATCTCAGCTTCTTATAATGCTGGGGGAGTGTCCCAGGAAGCACACTGCTGACTGTGCTCCTGCTGACTGTGATGAACCATACATCTATTAAAACAACTGCTCAACTCTGCTCTAGTATGAAAGGTGCAGTGTGATTCTCAAGGTTGCTGATTCCCTTCTTCTCAGTGAATGCAAACCAACCTGAAATCTGAATATGTATGGGACAAACTGCTGACTAATTCAGTCAAAATGACCAAACCAATTAAATTGAAAGTGTGGATAGGTGATTTTGTTGGTGAGAGTGTGAAATACTGTCAGAAACATTGACTATCCCCCCAGTTAAAGGAAACCCTACCCCAGGAAGAAGCATGAGATTTGCTGAAGCCATGAATATTAAGAATCATTAGTATAAAAATAATTCCCTTTTAAAAAAAATCTCCTCTAAACAGTTGACCATTATACCCAAGAGGTTTTACAAACAAAAACAAAAGTCCTCACCAAAACCCTCCTCCCAATCGTAGGACAACTTTGTGGAAAAATACTTTAATCTCTGAGCTGTTTCTTTGGAGATCTAGCTACAGGGGTCCTGATAAGCATGACTGTGAGCAGGGTACAAACCCAGTATGGAGGCTCTGGAGGAGACGAAACTATTGGTGGTTCCGTTAAGAATGGCAGAGCAGTGGCAGTCTTCTCATGGCATACCTGGCTGTTAGCATTTGATGGAGCAGTGGTTTAGGTGCCTACACTCCTGAATAGAACCCCTTCCCACCCAGACCAAACCCCCACAGCCTGTCACATACTGCAGAGAGCCTCGTCACTCCAGTCGTCACAGTCATTGTGACCGTTACACTGCAGCTTCTTTGGGAGACAAAGTCCATTTGTGCACATGAAGTTCTCGTGGCCTCCACACAGGGCTGAAAAAGAAAGTGGGGGTAGGGAGATCAGAATGTATTTCTTCCTTCTTTTAGACTCAAGTGAGAAATGAAAAACTAGAGGGAAAATACTTTCTTTGTGATTTGATAGATTTGCTTCCAGGTTGTTTCACTGTCATTTGTCACCAATGTTCCTTTGGGCTTTGGGACACTTGTGGTAGAATTATCTGGAAGTAACCCAAACAATGCTTGGTGGAGAAAGCCAGGGTACAATTTACCAACGGGCTTGCCCAAGAACTTCATGTGTTTGGGAACAATAGAGTGTACAGCCCCAACAACTGCACGACTTAAGTGGAGAAAATGCCAAATGGGAATATTTTTTCCTAATGATGTGAAAGTGGAGTGTTATTAACTGAACAAACAATTCCCTCTTAAAATGCTGCTGTGTGCATTACAGAGACTGTTCCAATGAAAATAGATTCAGACAATTGATGTGGTCTGGGATATGGGCACAGAGACCTCATGCTCTGTATTTGAAATATATTTATTTGCCCTAATAAAAAGGCTAGTTAAAACATGAGAGTTTGTTTGGGCACAGGGATTGTGACGTGACATTAACTAATACTGTTTTCCTTCCTTCTCTCCCTGATAATGAACAGTTACATTTGTTTTTTTCTCTCTCTCTCTTATTATATTTTTTCTTCTTTAAAGTTCAACAGCTATTTGACTCTTGAAAATTACAATATACAACAAATTTCAGATATAAATGCATAAATACTATCAAGAAAGGTCTTTAATAAAGAGGTAAATCAGTTCAACAAAGCTGATACAAATAAACTTCCATGTGAACTTGTACTCATGGCGTACCCTTTAAACTGTACAACTGTAGACTCAACAATCTTATTTCTTGGACTTCGTGCAAAGGAAATCAGTATTAATACAGACAAATTTTACTTTAAGACCATTCATCCCATCCTTGTTTATGACTAGGAAACCATAAGACAGCAATTCTATAATGGGAAGGGACTGCATATATACACCTGCTAACTCCATAGTAAATAATAGTGTTATTGTCATTGAACACATACAACATGGAAAATATTCAACATCTTGCAGAAAAGTTCAAGATACTTCAAAATGTAGAAAAAAATCTATTGGTTCTAAAATGCTTATTGTAATTTGGCACAGAGCAAGGTTAACTACTGAAATGTTTGCTAGTAAGAAAGCTAAGGGCAAGTTTTCTTTTGTTACCTTGTTCTATTCTGAATATTCCAAACCTAGTGATTGTAAATATTTATCTAGTTATGGAAAATGCCATTTTGGGGGGACGAGATGCTCCAGTTTTAGAATAATAGAAAATAGAATCAACACTCCCTCCCTTTGCTAAAGCTACTGTACATCCTAGTCACAGGGATGGTTGCCTGGTCATGACCTCCTGAACGGTGGCTTCCTTGAGCCTGTGACTCCTGTACACCTTAATCATGAGAACTGGAGACTGGGGGACTCTCTGATTTAGAAATGGAAACGAGAAAAGCACAGAGCAAGAACTAACTGCAATAGAGTCCCATCTACCACAGTTCCCACATGTTCAGAGGCTGATGCTCAGAAGGTTCTAAATTAATATTTGATGTGAAAAGTCACATAAATCTCCAATAGGTTTATATATCCTCAAAAGCCTAAAAGAATTAAATAATGCTGTGTCAATGAACTTTTCCCCAAAAGCTCTCAAGAAAACCAGTGTTTTGATTTGCTGAAAACCAAGTCCTATCTGATTTGATAAGCTTGCAGTATCAATAACAAAAATATGATTTTCATTGCCTCCCATCATTTCAGAATCAATCAAATTAATCACATCTATGGATCTCAACTGCTGAAGTGTTCAACATGTCTAATGTGTATAGAGTTGGAAAATTTAGCACATGCCTGAACACCTATAACTACATACAGACTCCTAACAGGCACACAGGAAACCAGACACAAAATGAAACAATACACTAGGAGTTTACTAGCTAGTCTGTGCAATGTCCTCCCTTTGGAGTTTAAGAGAAAATTGTAAAGGAGTGTGTATCCTACTGTGAGAGTGGTTCTCTACTATACAAACCATGGAGTATAAAAGGCCAAATCTGCTTTTTGGTGGCTGCCTCAGTGGCACCCTTTGCCACACACACACACACACACACACACACACACACACAACCTATGGCTCTAACAAATTCTCAGGAAATGGGGCTGAAAGTTCAACATGAATTAGTTCCTGACATCTAGAGTTCATCTCAAGATCCCATGTGAATATGACTTTAGTGAGGCCATTTCTTGCATGTGGTCACCTCGAATCTAGATCATTTAAAGCCTAGTACTCCTTGTGCTACCTTGTTAACGACCTCTCTTGTCTTGGCTGATTCAGCAGAAGGTGGCTTCTAGGTGGTAGTGCCTTTGAAGGGGGTGGGGAAATCTTCCTGACTTTAAGACACTGAAAACTGCATCTTTTTTTTTTATTCTTTCTTTGAAAATTTGTACTTAAGTCAATCCCCAAAAGACAAATAGTGTACATTTTCTCTCATGTGTGTTATGTACATAAAGCAATGTAGACATCTGATGGAAAGTAAAAGGGAGGTTGTCTAGAGAGTAAACGTGACTAACAGGGTTGGAGAGTAGAGAAGATGGAAGGAGGGAGCAGGAAAGAAGACGCACGAAGTGCATTGTATACCTATACAAGCATGTCCTTATGAAATACAATACCATGTACAATGAACACACAGAGACAATAAAAAGGAACTTCAAAGTCCTGATATCAGTATCACTTTTTAGCATTTAAAGTATAAAAACACTTTCTGTTAAATTCTTGTTATGTAGAATTTGCCATTTTCTTGCATAAGCGCTTCAACTTATAAAAGACTACAAATGTTGAAATTCTGAAATTCGAGGCAGGCGTTCTCCCTCTGACATCCTTGAGAGAAGTGGTACTTTACAGACAGAAGAGTCAGAGTGCTAAGAGGTTAGGACAACCATGGCCCAAAGCCACATTGCTAGGAAGAGGTGACAATCAGCCTGCAATCTTGATGTGCACACTGCAGCCCGGTCCTCCACACCCCACCCACTGCCCTGTGCTGCTAGAGATCATAGCACTGTCTGCTCCCTCCAATTCCAGGGCACTGGGTCTGAGCCAAAGTTCAAATTGTCTTTATTTTTCTCTGTAAACAAAAGACAGATGTCTGCTCTCCAGGTGAATGGGATCCAGATGAAATGGCATTCCGTGTCAGCACCAGTTTTTTTTTTTTTTTTTTTTTTAAGATATCCGAAGAGAGCACTTATCAAGTTTCTGCAGAGTTTTTGCCATAAATTTCACTGTCTTCTACCAATTGTCATCCCACAGCTTTTGAGTTATCACTTGGATGATAAAGAGAGATCCCTGGAGGAGAGGCTATGCTGTGCCATCCTGACACCACATACCGCTTTGTCTGCAATTCTACAAGGAATGTGCTGGACTTAAAATCAAGAGCAGACACATCAGTGGAAGAGTCTTAATTAACTGAGAAGGTATTTCAGAGTGCCCTCCCAGTCTAGCCCTTATAGCTCCTACAGTGAAGAAAACAAAGGCCGATCTTAATCAATATACATGGAACCAATCACAATTGAAGTTGTCTCACCACCAGTTCTGATTTCCTTTTATACTTGAGACAGTTGATACTACTGCAAGAACTGCAATGTCCAGCTATGTTCCCTGAAATGCTACTTCCCATGTCCAGGTGGGGTACGAAGGATTACAAACCACCTGGGCTTTGAGCTACCATGGCCTCAGGAGAGTGTGCCCTCATGTGGACAGCTGACCATTCTCAATATTCCAGTCTGTGATAACAAAGTTTCTGAAATAACAGTTCGTAACCTGAAACTACCTTGAAAGTTTCAACTGCTTCCAGCCTTTCTTGCTTCTCTCTGTCTTTTAGGACAGCATGTATATTGGCGAGTGTTCTCTCACATCAGTGATCAACTTAGAGTCTCAGAAATTCCCCACCAACTACTGACTGAGGGAGTTTCCTCAAAGCCTGAAGCTTGACTTCAATTCCACCTCTAGAGAGAATGCTAACACATTCCAGTGGGATCTACCCAGAGTAAGAGATTGTGAGGGTTGCATTCTACATCTTGCTGTAAACCTCTCCCACTTTTTCCTTCCCAATGTTACCTAAGTACTTGAAGTAGAGCAAGCACGATCTGCCAGGGGCTGATCCAGTCATTCCTGGGGAGAGTGCTCTATCTTTATGAATACATGACAGACCTCAGCTTTTGGGAAGAAAACGAAGGAAAGAGAAAGTCCAAGGGACTGATCAAATTATCAAATTACTTGGCCTCTGCCTGCCCTCTTAGGAGGGTGAGTCATAATAAGTGAGCCTGTCATTTGGTGAATGTTAAAGCGTTATGGGTAGAAATGGGAGTCAGAAGGTCTGCGTATAGATGGAGTGAGAGTCCCCAAGAGAAAAGAGGGACACAGCAATGCTGGACTCTGCTGAGGAAGAGGCACTGCACAGCTGAGCCTTTGGATGGAGACTGACTCCAGATCTGCAATGCAGAGGCTAGTGAACACCATGACAAGAGTTTCAATAAAGTACTGGGGCAAACTCCAGAAAGGGGTGTGTCCATAGGAGAAGGAGCAGGTGGCAAGCAGCTGAGAAAGGACAACTTTGCTGTAGAGGAAAGCAACTAGATGCTATGGTCGATGAGCACAAGAGCAGGGTTTTAAAATGAAGTACTCTAATGCCTTTGAATGAGTGTGTTCTGTAGGAGAAGCAGGAAAGACACTAAGTATTGCCCACAGGCCAAGTAAACATTGACCACTCACTGAGATAGAGAGGAGAGATGCATATATAATCTAACAATGGAGATTGCATCTTTCTATCCCTCTAACCCATCACAAAAATGAGGATAGCTCAGATATAACTATCTACTAATCTAAGAAATCTTTCTCGTTTTCTTCTTAGACATCACTTTCTTCTTTTTATTAATTTTTTGTTTGTTTTGCTTTAGAGTTTGTTTTGAGGCTGAGTCTC